TTAGAATACAATTATATTTTTAAAATATTTACATTAAAACATTCAATCTTATAGAAATATTAATCAAAAGGGTAGAAAATAATAGGGATTAAGATGAACAACATACCTACTAAAATAAATAATTTGTATAAATTATAAAATTAATAACATAATTAATTACATAGGCCATTACTTAAACGTATGTGCTTTATGTTCAACTAATATACAGCAATGTAATTCTCAAATGATACCTATATAAAAATAATTAGTGACTGTTTGCAACCCAAAATAATTTTATCGAGAAGTATTGACGATTTTTATTTCATATAAATTATTTTTCATTTTCATTTTYCAAAGCAGAATATTGTTTGAAAAATCTAGTACCATTATACATATCGAATTTCAAGAAAGAGCCAATCAGTACTTAAAGTTTTGATGAGCAGTCTAGAGAGGAATTTTGGGGTGTACTATATAATATTATGTTGGCCTACAATGGTCGTCTCATATAAACATTATAATATAATAGTTGTATTAATTAGGTAACAGCTTAAAATTTGATTTTTATAAAGTTGATTTTGAATTTTTCAGGAAAATAATTTGATTAGTTACAAGTAATAAAAAATATGATGTTATTCCACACATAAGTTGCCATTCAAAATATTAATAAGATCTAAAAAATGAAAAAAAATTGTTTTTTTTAATGACTTAAAAATTTAAAATTATGTAAAAATATTACCATTTTTCCTGAAATGTATAGTGTCTTACCTTTAGTAGAATTATCTATATAATTATACAAGAAATTTATACGTCACAGAAATACTAAATGAATCCTGTATATTATTATGTTGTGTGTTCCAGCATTGCAGCTAGAATGGTATATAATATGTGCGGACGATCGTCATCGCGAATGTAAACGCGTTTACCATTATCGTGATTTCGGGGGCGGTATCACGGTACATATTATACACGACGCAGACGTTCGATATTTCTATACAGGTCTTCTAGTGATTTCAGTATACCATATATGTTATACATATTATAGAAATACGGAGGTGGCGTCGGTGTGAATTGAATCAGAAAAACGCCGTATATATAGACGATGTATTATATTCTTTTGCAAAGGCGGCGATGACATCATATATGTGGGCGGCCGAGGCGAGAGAAAACGCACGGGGTGGTGTTTTTCCTCCCGTAGGGCCGTATATACACACACAATATATATATATTTTTTTTTTTATCGTCGGAACTATATAATATTTGATTATCGCGAGTAAATTTGATTTGGCACGACGATTTCACGGTTGACGGATAAACAATGGGACCACCCCATCCGCTCACGAACCCTTAACGCGTACGCAGACACACACACATACACACTTACATATATATAAGACTACGAGATTGACCTAATTAAACGCACATTCAGGGTCACCGAAGGGTTGGTCGGATCTCGAGCGGACACGACGTTACAAATAAGACATAGTTAATTRGACCGAATCAGACCGAAATCAAAGGGCAAACAGGCGAGTTCAAATGTATAATAATATGTTTTATGTAAGACATTGTAAGTACAGAAATTACAGTGGCTGCCTCGGTGATATAATTAGTCATTTTAGTGGATTACTATACTATAGACATAAATGCGGCAGTGACACTA